CCAGGACCCTAACTCAGCAACCATCTCCTCGACCTCCTGAGTGGAAAGCTCTGGACAGCAAGAGCTGGGCCTGACCGCTTCCCCGGCAGGGAGTGGCAGCTTATAAACACTTGTGGAAAGGATGGTCCGGGCACCTTATGTCTTGTATGGAAAGAAGATGCCACAAGTGCCAGACAGACTACAGGACAGAGCCAGATCCTGGGCTTCTGAGTCCTCACCAGCCTAGAATAAGCCCCTTCTGAATTTCCTAAGCAGGGGAGTAGGTCAAGAGCCCAGGGGCCTCCTAATTCCACCTAGCCCAAAGCCTACCCAGTCCCTGTCACATCCACCCTCTGGTCCCGCTACTGTTGTGAATTGTAACGTAAATAGCTAATATGCAAAGTATCTGATTATGTGACCCCTATAAAGGGTCATTTGACCTCATAGACACACACACAAAGTAGTTGCAACCCACGTGTTGAGTACCACTGCTCTAGACAAACAAGACTGGAGAGACTGTGGGCTTGGGAGACAGCAGTGGCATTGGGCAGGAAGGCAGACATAGTTGGGCATAGCCAAAGAGACTCTGAGCAGGCGGAGGCCCCCGTGATGGACCGTGCTCCTCCGTGATGGACCTTGCTCTTTGTGTTGAAATTGTCACAATAATAAAGTGAAAGGAATGCCTGGCCCCTCCCATAAGAAGCTTCTAGAATAAAGAGCCTACTATCTGCTTCTACAGATTGAGTTTTGCCCAAGTACAGTGCCTTGCACTCCTGACCTGGTCATGGGTGTCTCCTGTTTAAACTGCAGTTGTGAGAAGGGCTTCAGCTACAGTTCTAAAAATGTCCTTTTCTGGACACTTCCTTATCCCAGAACCTACTCAGATAATATTATTGGGTAGCATGCCTCAATACAGGGGATAGAGGGGAGGTGGGCCAGAGCTAGCTGTCACCACAGGTGTGTTGGTGGAAACCCCGCCATCTACACAGCAGTGTTAGACAGTAATAATGGGTGATGTTCTTTCCAATGAGGTAATTCTACTGAGGCAACTCAGGGCCTTCGGTGAACCGGTACCACACAACAGACAAGCACTGAAACAGAGCTTGGGCCGTGGTCCCCGTGAGAGCCGCTGGAGCCTGGTACCTCAGAGACTGAGTCACATGGGAAACACCAAGTCTGAGCTGTCCCAGCCAGCGTGATGTAAGCAGAGGGGGCCGGGAGACATCCCCCAGGGGTGCCGCTGGGGGGGAGGGCTCAGCAGAAAGGCTAGAAATGGCACACCCAGGTGGCTAGATGGTCTGGGGTTTATGCTCTGAAGCTGCCCTGGCTTCCTTTCAGTTATTCGGCCCACCCCACTAGCATAAATGAGCCAACTCTCAAGCCTTGCAGCATTCAAAGTGTCTATTCCGGGTTCTAAATCTTTGGCCATATGACTCACAGTGAGAGGCCAGCGGTGCCCCTGGAGACAGCGCAGAAAAGTCTGGTTTCAGAATGAGGTTTGGAAACCGACAGCACTATTCTGAGAGAGCGCATGTGCACCGGAGCTCAGCCAGTGGTGACAGGGTGTGACTAAAGGGACCCTCCCCTTCTATTCCCTGCTGCCTCCCCAGAGCGCCTCATTGATGCACAGAACGTTGTAAGCACCGACCAAGCCTGTGTGTGAGGCTCAGGGCATACACACAAATGTACGTGTTAGACTAGGGAAGACGTCCAGTTGTGGGTGTCCACAGCTCCAGCTGTGGAAGGTTTGGGGTGCTCAGAAGCCCCAGAGAGCTTTCCCACATGGGCCTGAGCCCCAAGCAGCCCTCACCGGGGTCCAGCTCCAACAGGTCCAGCCAGGCGAGGGGGGGGCACAGCCCAGGCATTCCCCTGCCCCTGAGCTCGCCCTGTTCCCATAGGCAGAGTGTTCCTGGCAATGGGCACCCCACCCCTCTCCTGGCCCAGCTGCGGTTTCCTTACTATTCATCAGCTATAGCTCTGGAAACCTCCCTTGTAGGACTGGGGGTCCCTCAGACATCACTCTCTCGTCCCATCTTGTCATACGTCACATTCCCAGGCACACCGTCCTGGGAAAAGCAGCACCAGTGTGTGTGTGTGTGTGTGTGTGTGTGCGCGCGCACACACATGCTTGTATGCATATGTATATAAATGTATGTATGTATGTGTGCACATACATGTATGCGAACACATGTGTATGTGTGCCTGTGTGCATGGATGTGTATATAAGCCTGTGTGTGTATGCAAGTGTATGCATGTCTGTGGATGTGTGCATCGTATGTGTGTATGCACGTATGTGTGAGTGTGTCTGTGCGTGCGCGTGTGTACATGTGTACATCTGTGTGAGTGTGTACTATGCATATGTGTGCATGCGTGTACGTGTGCATCCTTCACTCAGCGTCCTGTCCCAGCACTTCTCCTCTCAGTGGCCTGCTCCACACTTCCACAGTTTCAGGAGCTGCTCCCCTGACCTCTGCCCCCTGGCTGGGCAGCCATCCTCCAGTGGACGGGCAGCTGCGCTGCTGCCAGCCTGCTGTTGCCATTGACAAGAGCGCCTCCACGATGGGCTTTCTAGGTGGCAGGGGTCTGTCCCCGAAAATGGTCTGTGTATCCAGACGCTCTGGCAGAAGGATGTTCACACTTCCTTAGATCATCCGAGGCCTGTCTCAGGATCATACTTCAGAGAATTCAGACCTGATGGGTGACATTGATTTGTCATTGTTTAGTTTCCTTCCTTCCTTCCTTCCTTCCTTCCTTCCTTCCTTCCTTCCTTCCTCCTTCCCTTTCTCTCTTCTTCTTTCTCTCTTTCCCTTTCTTCCTCTCCACTTCTGTGCTGGATATTGAACCCAGGGCCTTGTGAATGGTAAGCACCACCAGCCCATGCCCCCTAGGCCCAGCTTCTAAACTGTATCTCTCATCTCCCCAGCCCCCCATTCTTCAGGGCCTCACTATGTAGCCCAGGTTGGCTCCTGATCGCCCTATTTTAGCACCCTGAGCACTGGGAGTAGGGGTATGCGCCATCTTGTTTTTCAGAGCTGAGGACGAACCCCAGAGCCTCAGCCATGCCTGACCACTGGGATGCACTGCACGCCTCCAGCTATTCTGAGCTACATAACATTTTACTATGAACCATAGTCACCCTTCTGTACAACAGAACCACAGAACTGCCTCGCTGAAGCTGAGACCTCTGACCAACTTGTCCTCCGCCCTCCACAGCCTCTGATGACTTGATTTTCTTCCCAGCTCTAAGATCTCTGTGCTCCGTATTCCATACAGAAGGGAGACCAAGGGGCTTCTGTCTTTCCATGACTGACTCCTTTTATTTTCTATTTAAACAATTGAGTTAAATTTTCTAAATTTTATGTGTATGGGTAACTTGCTTCCATATATGTCTGTGTGTCACATACATGGCTGGAGTCCATGGAGGCCAGAAGAGAGCATTAGATCCCCTGGAACTGTAGGTACAGATGTTTGTGAGCCATCTTGTGGGAGTTGAACCCAGGTCCTGTAAAGAGCAGTCCTAGTGCTTTTTTTTTTTCTTCTCAAGACAGGGTCTCTCTGTGTAGCCTTGGCTGTCCTTTGTAGACTAGGACTCACTTTGTAGAACAGGCTGGCCTCGAACTCACAGAGATCTGCTGAGTCCGCCTCCCCGAGTGACGGGATTCCAGGCGTGCACCACTGCACCCAGCTGTCTTCGTGCTCTTAACTGCTAGGCCTTCACTCTAGACCACGACTTCTTTTTCTTCTGTTTGTTGTTTGTTTGTTTGTTTGAGGCAGCACTTCTCTGTGTAGCCCTGGCTGTTCTAGGACTTGCTCTGTAAAGCAGGCTAGCCTCGAACTCAGAGATCTGCCTGCCTCCATCTCTTAAGTGCTGGGGTTAAGGGCGTGTGCCACCACACTCAGCCTGACTTGTTTTTTTTTTTTTTTTAAACGTGAGGTTCTCCCATTTCATTCCTGTTGGTACAAATGGCAGGATTTCCTTCTCTCTCGAGGGTAAATAGGGGCCCATTGTTTCCACACACGGCAGTTTTCTTTTCCACTCCGCCGATAATGACAGGAGCAGCGACCCCAGATCTGGGCTACAGTGAACAGTGCCGCGATGAACTTGGGAGTGCAAGTGTCCGGCTTCCTATTCCTGCAGGATTCTGAAGGCCTGCGAGTACACAGAAATAAAGTAAAGGCCAGGCTAATGAGGGCTGGAGCGCTGATTCTCCACGTCGCTGTGGAGGGGCTGCTGTGCGCTGAGAACTTGCTGTAAGAACGAGCCTGCAGCGGCCGGGTGTTGTGGAGAACACCTGCAACCCAGCACTCTGGAGTCTGAGACAGGAGGATCTTGAGTTCAAGCCAGCCCTGGACAACTTAGTGACTCCTGTCTCAGAAGGACTGAAAACCAGACAAGCAGCAACCAGGTGACAGCGTGAACGCGTGTCATTCTCACAATGACTCCAAGGCCGCCTTTCCTGATGGGAGTATAGAGGTACAGGTCATGGTATATGTAAGTCCTCACCAAGGCCTTGGATCCTGAAGCGAAATCCAGATCTGCAGGGACAGCACAGACCACGGGTACCTAATGGCCTGGGGGCAGTCACAGGTGGCTTCCTGGGAGAGGTGACGGCTTCAACTGATCATTAAAGAAGGGTCAACAGGAACTGATCAGCAGCAACACAGGATGTGGTGGTCTAAGAGGAGGGAAGGCTATCTGGGGAGGACAAGAGGTATTTGGGCAGTCTGGCCTGGAGAGGTGGCCGTGGGCAGGAACCAGGCCCCAGAGCTGGGTCAGGGAAGATCTGGAGGTACTCAATCCCTGTCATACCATGACCAGGTTGAGCTAAGACACCCCCCACCCCGCCCAGCTAAGCAAATAGGGACAGGTCACCCACCTCTGCTCCCTGCACTGAGGCGCAGGCGCAGGTCAGCAGGGCGGCTTATTTACATCCCCAGGTTGGGGGGGAAAACCCAGGAAGTACAGCCTAGGCCTGACAAACTCTCAGGCTAATAATAAACGGCCTGAGTAATGAGTGGCGTGGGCCAGGCCAGGCAGGAGGTCGCAGCCGGTGGCACAGGAGTGTGGTGAGTAGCCGGCTGTGGTGGGTGAGGGCCAAAAAGGTGCTCCGGGAGCTGGGGATCCCGCAGTGCCACCACAGGTACAAGCTAAGGTTACCCAGCTTTGGGACAGCTCCAGGGCTACACCTGAGAAAAGCGTCCAGGTTCAGGTCTAACCTGCCTAGGAGTATGGGGTCAGCAGGAACTTCTTTTTCTATCCATGTGTTCCAGCTTTTCTCCTTGTGCCCCTGGGCTGTTTTTTTAAGTGAACCTGATAGGTTTTAGATACGTCAGGATTCAGTGTTTAGAACTCTGCCCCCCCCCCCCCCCCCCGCCTAACTGTCATGAACTTCTAAGAACTCTTAACATTAGAGCCTCAGAGCACAGGTGCTGAGCAAGAAGTGCGAATTCTGTCCTCGGTAGAAAGGTTCAAAGCAGGTCCTTCAGGGCCCACAGGGGAAATCAGGTTCCATAGCCCAAGCTCTGCCTGTCCCCCATTCTGCCTTCTTATTTTCCTTGCTGATGATTGTTGATGAGTTGAGGTTGTTTAGCCTGTAGTGTTACAGGGATGCTTCAAAGGGTCAAAGGGTCTCCTCTGAGGCACAGGTTCTTCATTGGGACTCTCCTCTCACAGTGGCTCTGCCTGTCCCCACACCCAAGCGTGGCTCAGGCAGGCTTTGCCAGGATTTTCTGTCTCTGTCCAGCAACCATGTCCACCAGGGATGCCAATCAGTCTCACAGCGAATCACATGGGTCAGTGACCTAGATCTAGGAGGAAATGTCAAGGGACCTGGGACCAGGAATTAGGGATCATCCAGAATGGGCTGGAACCCACAGCAGCTTCCTGGAGCTGCAGCGAGGGCTGGGACAGGAGGTGTGTTCAAGTTCCTACTGTTTGAAGTTTGTACGCTTTGCCGTTGCCCCTTCTCTTCACCTACAAAGTGGACCTCAATACCACGAACTCACTCTCGACCCTTCAGACCCTCTTGAAGAGTCACAAACAAAGGCTCTGGGAAGTTAAAAACAACAACAAAAATCCTCCGACTTAAAAAATATTTTATATTTGTATCATCATGAAATAGGTATATATTCTCTAAGCCAGGTTACTTAGTGAGACCCTGTCTCAATAAATAAATAAATAAATAAATAAATAAATAAATAAATAAATAAATAAATAAATAA